AAAAAAAAAAAAAAGAGAACTAATAATGTCAATCCCCAAGAAAATAGGCTAAATTACAAGTCTAGTTGCCAACCAACTTGAGAAAAGTTTCTTTCCCACATGGTAAAATACTCCAATAATAAAAAGGAACTTTTTAGCTATTCAAAAGACCCTAGGAAAGAGTGTTCCTAAATTTTTTTTTTTTGAGACAGAGTCTCAAGCTGTCATCCTGGGTAGAGTGCCATGGTGGCGTCATACCTCACAGCAACCTCAAATTCTTGGGCTTAAGCAATTCTCTTGCCTCAGCCTCCCAAGTAGCTGGGACTACAGGTGCCCTCCACAACACTCAGCTATTTTTTTTGTTGTTGCAATCGTCATTGTTGTTTTAGTTGGCCCAGGCTAGGTTTGAACGCACTAGCTTTGGTGTATGTGACCCACGCCCCACCCACTGAGCTATAGGCACTGCCCCTAAATCATTTTTCAATGTGAGATTCTCCAGATTCCTGGAGTACTTAAACAAACAAACAAACAAACAACAAAACCTGAATTTCATTGGGAAGGGACAGCTGCATTTTAATAAGCTCTCATTTTCTTTTATTGTAAACAAGAGAAAAGGAGAAAACAAACAAAATAGAGGCATGTGCTCTCACCAGAGCTGTGAACACCTAGGGATTCTAATCGCAGAGATTGTACTGAACAAACTTAAGGATGGACAGACCCAGTAACAATCACAACATTACACAGGTACATGGAAGAGTCTGCAAACTTCCAAAAAGTTTCCACCTACAGGCTGAAAAGAATAGGTGATGGGGAAGAAAGTAACAGGAGTTGGTAGGTAAGTAATGGGAGTTGGTATTACATATCCAGGGCTCTACTTCCACTCTTGTAACCAAAAGGCCCACTGTGGGTGGCAGTCTTGACACTTGTAAATTATTTGAAATGCTGGGATAAAACAATACTGCCTCAGCTCAGTGCCCATAGCTCAGTGGTTGAGGCACCAGCCACATGCACTGGGGCTGGTGGGTTTGAACCCAGCCCAGGCCTGCTAAACAATGACAACAACAAAAAAAACAGTAGCGGGGCATTGTGGCTGGTGCCTGTAGTCCCAGCTACTCAGGAGGCTGAGGCAAGAGAATTACTTAAGCCCAAGAGTTTGAGATTGCTGCGAGCTGTGACGCCATGGCCTTCTACCGAGGGCGACATAATGAGACTCTGTCTCAAAAAAAGCCAACAAACAAACAAACAAAAACCCTAGCATTTGTGTTCAGCAAACCACATGCAAGGTTTCTTAAATTTTAGCATACTTGGCTCACAAGCTCAGTTGTTTTAAAAGTGTTTAGGTGGTCGACAATTATCAAATTGTTCCACAATGGCCAACCATGTGACTTCCCAGTTTAGGGACTTAGCTGAAGACATAAAAACAAATTTAACAGTACTGTGTACTTGTGTTCTGTTCTCCATACTAAATGGCTACAACACACCACATGACAAAGTAGTTCTGCAAAGCAGCAGCCTTAAAGAAATTCAAGCAAGGCCAGGCAAGATGGCTTACACCTGTAATCCTAGCACCCTGGGAGGCTGAGACAGGTAGATAACTTGAGCTTACAGGTTCAAGACTAGCCTGAGGCTCGGCGCCTATAGCTCAACCGGCTAAGGCACCAGCCACGTACACCTAAGGTGGGGGGTTCGAATCCCCAGCCCGGACCCGCCAAACAACGACGGCTGCAACCAAAAAAAA